CAGGCCTGGGTGGCTTTCCCTCCTCCCTCTCCTCCTCCCCCTCCTCCTCCTTCTTCTCTATACCCCCTTCCCTTCCCTTCACTCCTCCCTCCCTTACTCTGCATTTTAAAAAATCACACCACAAGGACTTATGGAAGAGCCTTGGACTAATTGTTCTGCAGAATGTCTCACCTTCTGAATTTATCAGATTCCTTTCTTATGGTATCATCTTCTCTTTTTTGTTTTGTTTTGTTTTGGTGCCTGGGATTGAACTCGGGACCTTGCACTTGCAAGGAAGGCACTGAAACCACTGAGCTAAATTCCCAGCCTCTCATGGTGTCATTTTGTTCCTCTGTCTCCTGTGTTTTTTGTAAGTTGGAAGGAGTATCTTAAGGGTTGCACATTTTTGTCAAGAATATTTCTCAGGTGATGTTCTCTGCCTTCTGTGTTGATTCATCTGGGAAGCACATGAGGTCAGGTTGTCTCACTGGTTGAGATGCCAAGAGTGATTTCTAGGTTAAAGTGTTATCAGCCAGATCTCTCTTGGATTTGTTTTGTACTGGGGATCGAACTCAGGACCTTGCCCTTGCCAGGCAGGTGTGGCGCCCCTGAGCTAAACCCCAGGTTCTTCTCTTGGATTTTTAAAGGGTAATCTTTCCTTTTGTTTTGCAAACTCACTGTTAGTCCTCAACAGTCCCAATCTAACTGCTTTTGACTGAGGAATTTGTTTCCTATTTAAGAACCAGACTGGGACCTAATACTGTTGATTCAACTCTCCTATTTTATTTATGCAGTACTGGGGATTGAACCCAGGGAGCACTGATCTACATGCCCAGCCTTTTTTATTTTTTTGACATTTTGATACAAGGTCTTTCTCACTAAGTTGCCCAGGCTGGACTCAAACTTCCCAGCCTCCTGTCTCAGTCTCCTGTATAGCTGGGATTACTGGTGTGCACCTCCATGACCACCTTTTGCCTATCTTACTATATTTAGTTTATCTCTGATATAGCAGAACATCTTCAGACTGTCAACAACTCTTCCCACTAGTACAAACTTATTTTGGATTCATATATTTAAAGGTAAAGCACACTTATTAACTTGTCAGTCTCACTTTAACTTCCATATTATGAGGGGAAGTAATAATATGAACTATAGAAAAATTCCCATAGATAGTCTGATTCCGTCTTTACTTTATTATTCCCAGCCTCCAAGATTAGACAGTCGACCATGAATAGAACATTCCCATTCACTCCCAGGCAGATGCCCCATCCTTCTTCCAACCTCTCTCTGCTCAGCCTGACTCCAAACCTTAGAGCCCTCTTGGAGTCATGTTCCTACCTCTGTCTTCCTAATTCCAGCAAGGTAGCGAGTCCCTATTGTTCCAATCATTTCCCATTGTCACCACCCTAGTGATCCTGATTGTGGCAGCTGCTTCTCTGCCAGCTCCCCTCTCCTGGGCCCTGGCTGCTACCTCGCCAGGCCTGCCCAGAAATCACATGCCCCAGCATATTGCTGCAGCCTCACCTCCAATTAGGTCCCCTCCCTGTCCCCTCACCTTTTCTATGCCCCATGCCTTCCCACTCTGGCTCCTTACCCTCTCATCCATTTGCTTCACTCAACCAATAATTACTGCTTTCTTAATATTTGTTAAGTGTTGGTCTAGATGCTGTCATTTCACAGTGAACAAACAGACAAAAATCCTGGCCTTCATACAAGCTTCACATTCTTTCAGAGAGACACTGATAATCAACAAGCAAATATGTCAAGTGATTAAGAAGGCTAGGAAGAAAAACAAAACAGCATGAGAGGGGTTATTTCAGACAGGTGGTCCAGGAAGTCCTCTCTGAGGAGCAGACACATGGACAGAGACCTGAAGGAAGTAAGGAGCTTCTTCTGTGAATAACTGGGATAAAAGTGTGGAGTCAGAGGTGCAGTATATGTAAAGGTCCTCAGGTCTGCGTGCACTGGTATGTTTGAGGAATAGCAGGAAGACCTGTGCAGCTCAAGTGGAGTAAGTGAAGGGAAGAAAAGTTAGGACACAAATGAGAAGGAGCCAGATCAAGTAGGGCCATGGTAAGGTAAGTGAGAGGAAGCCCTTAGAAAGTTCTATCGAAGAATGACATTATCTGATTTATCACTTATCCCCTTGGTGCTGGAGATCTAACCCAGGGCCTCAGGCACACTAGGTAAGCACTCTACCACTGAGCTACATCCCCAACCCCTGATTTATGATTTAAATGGGCCACTCTCGCTGTCATATGAGATGAACTGGCTATAAGGGGCAAGGGTGGAAGTAGCAGGATTCATCCAGGAGAGAGGTGGTGGTGACTGGAGAGAGGCGGAGACGCAGATGGTGAGGAGAGCCTCACTCCTGGAAGTCTTTGTTGATGTGTAGAGTGGGAGAGCAAAGATAACTTTGGTCTGCATGATTGGAGGAGGGGCCCGGTTGCCCATCCGTAACCACAGGGAGCTAGTTTCAGGACTCCCACAGATGCCAAGATCCTCAGATGCGCAAATCCTTTTTGTAAAATGGTGTAATATTTGCAGAGAATTGATTCATAGCTTCCCACATACTCTAAATCATTTTAAGGCTACTTCTAATACCAAATACAATGTAAATACCTTGTAAATAGATTTCATACAGTGTAGTTTAGGAAATAGCAACAAGAAAAAAGTGTATACATGTTTAGTATGACATAATTTCCCCCCAAATATTTAATACTTCTCAAATATTATGATCTGAGGTTGGTTGAACCCACAGATGTGGAACACGTACCTACAGAGGGCCGACTATAAGGGAAGACCAGGTTGGGGAGTGTGGGGGTAGGAGTGAAGCATTTGGTTTTGCAATGGCAGGTTTGAGATGTCTTGCAGACACTCAGGTGGGAAGATCAGGTAAGCAGCTGCAGATTTATGCCCACTCCTGAGTCTAGGGGCTCAGGAACCAGGCACAGCTGGGGATGTGAGTTTGGCATCAGCAGTGAGTGGGAGGTGGGTAAAGCCAGGGACTTGGATGAGGTCAATGTGGCACAGACAGCAAGAATGAAGGCTGAGGGCTGGGGATTTAGCTCAGTGGTTTTGCTGCCTGCTGCGCAAGCGGAAGGACCCAAGTTCAATCCCAAAAAAGAATGAGGGCTGAGCTCTTCTCCCTCCACCCCGACAACGCTTTTCTCTGTCATCTTTCTATTTTTATTTTTTGAGACAGGGTCTTGCTATGTAATTCAGGCTGGCCTTGAGCTCACTGTGTAGCCAGTCTGGCCTTGAACTCATGGTGATCCTCCTGCCTCAGCCTCCCGAATACTGGGATCAGAGGCATGAGCCACCACACTCATTAGGCTCAACTGATACTCCTGGCTTAGCTTCCCAAATAACTGGGACTACAGGTGGGTGCCACTGTGCTTAGATTTTGTCATCTTTTTTTCATTCCAATATCACCCATCTCTTAACTTGTGGAGGCCCCTTCTCTTCCTCCAGGAAGGGTCCTTCTGACCACTCTAGCCCCAGTGCCATTTTCTGTCCTTCCTGCCTTCTCTCCTAAGAGCCAAGGGCCAGCACTGATGCTTCTTTCTGATTCCATCACTGTATGCCTTTGAGTAACACACTGTCTCTCCCGCTAAACCCAGCAGAGGGTGATTCGATACTGGGTGCTTGGACAGATCTTGGTAAATTGAGTAGAATTAAATCATTAAGTACTAGTATGGGCTGCAGATAAGAGTGCCTTGGAGGTCAGGCAAAGGCAATTTGGTGCTTGACTTGACCCTGGCTCCATTATGAATCCCGGCTGGGCACTTTCTGGTCCCAACACAGGACTCACCTCTGAGATCCCCTTCAGAGACCACAGCACTTGGTGATGGCTACCCCTGACTTCATCCCACCCCTAATCTTAAAGACAGTTAGAGCCAGTGTCTAGCTCTTACTCCCTCACTCTTCCACCTGCAGTGAGCCCCACCCTGAGCTGCCCCTGGGAATTCAGTACCTCCCTCCACACCCTCCTCTTCCCCACATAGGATTCCCAAACCGGCTGTGCACCCCAGGACAGCTGGTGAAGTACCTGACTGCAATTATCTTCAACTGTTCTGCCCAGCACGCCGCTGTCAATAGTGGGCAGGTGAGTCTGCAGAGGGAAGACCTAGGGGTATCAGGCCACTAAAGGTGTTGGGCTTGGCAATGGACTTGTGGCCAGAATTCTGGTTGAGAGCAAGGGTGAGTCAGAGTTAGGGTTGAAATGGTGCCTGGGTGGAGTGAATGTCCCTTGTTGAGTGATGGCTGGGTGGAGCTGGGTCCAAGGTGGAAATGTCAACTCAAATTGGAGTTATGTTGCCAGTACAATCTGTGGCTCCTGTCTTGGTTAGTACTGGGTCAGGTGGACAATCAGGTTGTGCTGTATGGCATGCCAGCCCAAGGCCCTTTTCTAGGATTACTTCCTCTCTGGGTTCTCCTCCCTCCCTGGTGACTCACTCCACCCAGTCCTGGAACACTGGGTGGGGAATGACAAGGGGTGAGCTGGGCTCCTGCCCCACTCTGGAACTTTCCATGATACCCTCATTTCCCAACTGTGAGACTTGGGATAGTAGAGGTGGGATGAGGAATGATGAAGAGGGAGCTGGTTCTTGCCTTCTGGTGGCTATTTGATCCACATGGGGTGTGTGTGTGTGTCTTTACAGCATGACTTTGGGGCCTGGATGCCCAATGCCCCATCATCCATGAGGCAGCCCCCACCTCAGAACAAGGGGACCACTACCCTGAAGAGTTACTTGGAAACCCTCCCAGAAGTGAATGTCACCTGTAACAACCTTCTCCTCTTCTGGTTGGTCAGCCAAGAGCCTAAGGACCAGGTAAGTATATGGGATGGAAATTTAGGGGGTATTTTGCAGGGCCTGGGCATCGGGACTGTTTCATGGGGAGTTGAGGACTGACTGCTGGGATTTGTGCTCACTGCAGTGCTGCTTGTGTTCTTTAGTTTCTTTAGGGAATAATACTTGATCCCCAAGAACATATGTTGAGGGAAATACCAGTTTTATAAATGGATCACAACTTCCATCCAATTCACAAGTTTAACCATCCATCCATTTATCCATTCATCCATCCATCCATCTACCCAATAACTCATTTATCCATCAATCATTCATGCATTCATCCAAACATTAAGCAGACATTTCTGGGTAATCCGCTATGTGTCAGCATAGCACTGAGCACCAGGCACACAAAGCTGAGTGAGATCTGCCTGCCTTCAAGAAGTCTATGGTCTGGTAGAAGAGACATGTTGATAAATAAAGAAGGACACCACAGTCTTGTAGAAAGCACTTATATGTTCATTTCTCCATTCAACACATGTTTTCCAAGTATGTGTGGTCTGTTAGATACTGAGTGGAACAAGCCATGAGCCTTGTCCACAATCTTACATCTAGGGACAGAGGTAAGAATGGGGCCCTGTAGACCCTAACTAGGTCTGGGAAAACCCTGGAAGGCTTAGTGGAGGAAGTGACATCTAAGCTGAAACCTGTGAGACAAGTAGAAGTTGGGGAAAGGCGGGGGCAGGGTTGGTTTCTAGGCAGAAGGAAGGACACAGCCAAGGAGTGGAGGGGAGAGTCACTCACCACGGTTCAGTGCAGCAAAATGGCAGGTGGAGAGGAAGGTAGGGCTTTGTCTGCATAGTATTGACTGAGAGGACAATGGGAAGGCCCCTTAGGAGCTTTAAGCCAAGATGGCATGGCTTAGTTTGTTTCGATTAGCATGTTCCGGTGCCTGTGCGAATGGGTGAGAAGGCAGTTTGGAGATGGGAGAGAGAGCAGGCAGTTAAGTAGCTTAGGCCAGGTGAACAGTGCTTTCATCACCAATTATGGTCACAGCCATTCACACATTGTCAGTCATGGCTCTGCCTCCTGGTCTTGGTCACAGTTCTCGGACATGTTAACATCCTCATTTCTCAAGCTTGACTCCATCTGGTGCTAGAAAGGTGGCAAATATTTTCTTAGCAGGGTGTTTTGTTTGTGTTTTTGTTGTTTTGGAGATGTGGGGGCCCTCATTATGTTCCCTAGGCTGGCCTCAAACTTCTTGGGCCAAGTGATTCTTTTGCCTCAGCCTCCTGAGTGGCTGGGACTACAGGTACATATCACCATGCTTGACTCAGAAAAGGTTTTATATATTTTAAAAGTTTATTTTATTGTGGGACTAGGTGTCTTAGTTACTTTTCTTATTGCTCAGACAAAATACCTAACACCTGAAGTTAAAAGGGGACAGGTTTATTTAGCTCAGTTTGTAGAGGCTTCCATAATCAGCTGGCTCCAAGGCAGGGTGGCACATGGCAGAGGAGCAGCAGTTCATAGCAGCCTGAAGGTAGCAAAGCTCCAAAGGACCTTAACAGTACCTTTCTGCCCCTTTTGTCCAGACTACGGGGATTAGGCAGTGCCAAAACAATCAGTCTACTGGTTTAGTAATCACACGCCCTTAATCCCAGCATCATGCACTCTAGATTCAGCCACCTCTGAGAAAGCCACCTATAACCTCATAAGGCTTTGGTGGGAGATCTAGACCCAAATCACAACACTGGGGATTGAACCCAGGGCCTTCACACTGAGCTACAGCCCCAGTCCACTTAAATTTTTTTATTTTGAGACAAGGCCTCACTAAGTTGGTTAGTTGCCCAGGTTGGGCTCAAACTTTTGATGCTCTTGGCTCAGACTCCTAGAGTGCTCAGATTACAGGTGTGTGCCACCACACTTGATCTGTCTAGGAAATTTTACCTACCACCCTCTGTCCTTAGAATGGCAGGAGTTTGTTTCTGAATCCTGCCCCTTTCTGTGCCCAGGGGGACAAAAGTAGGCAAGAGGATGAGGGTAGAGGGTTCCCTCCTCATTAGCCAGTGAGAAGTTTAACTTGGAAACGTACAACAACAATAGCAGCTGTCACTTATTGAGAATCTATCCTGTCTCAGTTATTAAGTCAGATTCTTTATGCGTACTATTTAAAAATATAAACCAAATAAATATATTTAAAATGCTTAGTATAGTGCTGGCAGATACACGTTCAATACATGGTAGTTTCACTTACAGGGGAAGAAAACTGAGGTTCAGAGTAAGGAATTTCTCACCATCACATAGCTGGGAAGTAGGGTTTGAGTTGTCTGTCATACTTCTGGGTTCTGCTCTTTGATGACTACACTATAGTTTTGGGAATTGGATATGAGTCTTGTGAGAACTGGATCTTTGGAAAGACCAATATTAATATAAAGAAACTATAGACAATCATAATCAAGAAAAAAACCCCATGTATACACAATACTAGGAGGGGGAAGGGGCGCATAGCCAAATACAGAGGGTTTTTAAATGATAAAAGAATATTGCTTACAGTTTTGTGCATGAAAATTTGGAAATCTAGATAAAATGAAGATTTTCTTTTTTCTAGGAAAACAAACAACTGAAACTTCAGAGGAAATGAAAACCAAACATAAATGTAAAAGATTATGATGAAAAGCAAACATTAGTGTAAAAGGCTATAAAAGATCTGCTTATTTCAAACCTTTAAGGGACAAGTAATTTCTAAGTTCTTCAAGCTCTTTGAAAGCATAGACAAAGGTGTAATCTGCCTGAATCATTTCTCGGGATTGCAGAATGCTCATTCAAGTACTGGAAAGGGCAGTAACCTAGAAGGGAGGTAGTCTCAGTGTGGACTCCGGTCCGAGGTCCACACCCTGTCCCCAAACCCTGTATGATCTTGGACATGTAATTTGGCCCAAGTTTCATTTTCATTATTTGTAAAGTGAGAATGATAAGAGTATCTGTCTTAAGGGCCACGGTGTATGGTTCAGGTAGAGGGTTTATCTGTGAGCTGTTATTAAGAAAATGAAGTCAGGCAAGGAGATGCATGCTTGTCATCCCAGAACTCTGGGAGGCTGAGGCAGGAAGATTGCAAGTTTGAGTCTAGCCTAGGCAATTTAGCAACTTCACAAGACCCTGTCTCAAAATAAAAAATAAGCTGTAGCTCAGTGTTAAGGCCTTGGATGCAATCCCCAGTACTACAAAAGATTAAAGAACTAAAGAAACAAATCAGCCAGTGAAGGGCAATATTGTATACTAAAATAATAATGTGCCATGATGAAGTACAGTTTATTCTAGAAATGAAAGGTTGGTTCAAACTTATGAAATGTAGCAAGATAGTTTATCACATCAATAAAGAATGATAACATATAATCATCTTGGTACATGCTGGAGAAGCATTTAATTGGCATGAACAGTCAATACTAATAAAAACTCAGAATAAAATGAAAGCCCCTGGAGGGGTTTTTATAAAAATATATTTAAGACAACCCTGGGCCTAGAGATGCTGCTCAGTGGTACAGTAAAACACTTGCCTAGCATGTGTGAGGCCCTGGGTCTCATCCCCAGAACCACAGAGGGGAAAATAAAATGACACTGTACTAATGGTGAAATAATAGATGCCTCCTCATGAAAACCAGGGACAGGAAAATAATACCTATTATGGCTGCAATTATTTAACACTGTTCCGAAGGGCTTTGCCAATGCAATTAAAACAAGAAACATTTTTTTTCTGGTACTGCGGATCAAACTCCGGTCCTTGTGCTTGCAAGGCAGGCAGCGGAACCACTGAGCTAAATCCTGGGCCCCAGAAACAAATTTTTTAAACATCAGCAGTACTGATAACAGCTGTGTTTCATGAAGGTTATGTTAGCTGGAAAGGATGTGCTGGTTAGGAGGCGGAGCCCGTACATCAGAACAGTGGAGTGATGTGTGATGGGATCATGAGGGAGGGACATTCCTGTACATAGGACAGTGTCCACTGAAGGTCACTGTGGCATGTGTTGATTATGGCTGGCTGTGCTGTAAAGTGTGATGGTGACGGTGTTGGCAAAACTGATTATGTAGTTGATTGGAAGATACCTCAGAACCAGACTGTGGCTGTTCTCAGAGGTTGAGTTTTGTGAAATTGTGACGTAATAGTTGTATTCTCAGGCCTATTTGTTAGAGTGTCTGTGTTAGTATCAGCTGTGTGATGAATGCAGTTGTGTGCTCTTTGTTCAAAGAGTAGATTAGGCACTAGAAAGGGACTTTATGGATTTTCCATTTCAATCCATCTACTTTCAGATGCAGGAATTGAGTTTCAAAGAGTCACAGTAACATACAAAGGATTTTCAGCAAAAGGAGCACTGAATTTAGGTTTCCTGGCTCCAAAGTCACATTCTTTCCTCTAGGCTATGTGGCTTTGGATGTTGGGGGATGTTTTCCATCAGATTGCATGGAATGGTAGATTGGCGGTATGATTTCAATGGCTGCGATTAGGTCATGCCTTTCGAAGCCACCTTGATTGTATTTGTTGCCATCCATGGTCCTGCATTATTCTCTGTTCCATTTTGAACATCATCCTGACCTCCCACCTGGTTCTCTCCCAGAGGCCCCTGGGCACCTACCCAGATCAACACTTCACAGAGGAAGTGCCACAGCGGAGCATCGCCGCCTTCCAGAGCCGCCTGGCCCAGATCTCAAGAGACATCAGGGAGCGGAACCAGGGCCTGCCACTGCCCTATGCCTACCTGGACCCCCCCCTCATTGAGAACAGTGTCTCCATCTAACTTCCGCCTCAAACCACTTCAGAAGAAAGGAAAGTCCAAGCATGAAGAAGGCCAGCTTATCAGAGTTTTCCAGACTCTTCCCTCCTCCCTATTCTCAGTTTGAATCTTCCTCTCTCTATATAGAGACTTTTTCCAGCCAAGATGGCTCTAGCTGTGTCCTGAGCTGTGAGAGACCAGTCTAGCAGTGTCCAGGGTAAAAACCTAGGACTAAGGTTGAATGCACAATAGACTGCTGGAAAAGGAAGGAACTTCTATACCCTTTGCCCCACTCTGGGTAGCCTCCTGTTCCAGCCTCTTGTGGAAATCTACTTCCTCCCATTGGGATGCCCAGCCTTGATCTCCAAGCTTTCCTTCCCAGTCCCCCGCATTCCCACATTTGCTCCTACCATGTCATTTTGATTCTTCTTTCCTGTAAGCCTAAGACCAGCCAACCTGGCTTCCTTCTGTGGAAGAGCCTGGAAACTGGGCACAGAAGAGCTGTGTGCCTGGATCATCAGGTCCCCTTTGTTCCTGGCACCTTGAAAGTAGGGGAAGAATTGGAGCCCAGCTCTCCTGGACATCTAACTAAGGTTCTGGGGGACAAGTTCCCTGGCCTGGGCATGGATGTGGAATCTTTCTCCAGCTCTCATTCTACCTCATTCTCATCTCATGTTTTTCTTTTTTCTTTAAAACAAGTGAGTTCAGTAAAAGCTGACATATTTGGCTCCTATTTCATTTTTCTGTTTTGATGATATTTGTGCTTGCATGTGAGCATGTGTGTGTGAGTGGGGGTGGCTAGGGGTGGAAGTGCCAGGCAGGTAGGAGCAGCGAGTCCATCAGCTGTGGGTTCTAGAGACAGGCAGTGTCCCAGCTCAACCCTCCACCCAGCTGAGCCCTGTATTCTTACCTTCACCACCTAGAGCCTGTCATTAGGAGGTGAAGGACACCTGAACTCAAGGGACAGGTCAAAACCCCTGGCATTTTGCAAAGCCTCAGAATCTGGCTTCAGGGTGTGGTGGTTGTTAGTGTTGCCACTGAAATCCAGTTCCACTCCTGGACACAGAAAACTCATGCCTGGCCCTCTCGTGGGTGGGTGGAGCCACAGGATGTTTGAGCTGAGTTATGTGCAGAAGAGGTTCGGCCATGTCCAGGCTGGCATGGGGCCCTCTGGGGTGCTCTCTGCCTCCCCACTCTGGAAGCCATGCTGGGATGCTATTGATCAGCCTGTGTGTTTGAGGGACAGAGCAGAGGCCTGCTGCTGAGCTAGATGTGGAACTGAATAATAAAGATACTTTTTATTGGGTGAAGCAGTTGAGATTTTGGGATTGTTCACCCTTACCACTTTCCTGCCTCAATCTAGAGTCTGATTTTCTCCTTTCTATCCAGGCAGCCCTTACAAATAGAGGTCTGTTGCCACTCGTGGTGGCGCACCTGTAATCCTAGCACTTGGGAGGCTGAGGCAGGAGGATCATTGTGCATTTGAGGCAAGCCTGGGCTACATAGTGAGTTCAAGACCAGCCGAGCTACATAGTGAGACCCTATCTCAAAAAACAAAACAAAAAAAGAGGTCCATGTAGACCTCAACTGGTCCATCTACATTGTCTCTCTCCATAGCTTTCCAATCCCTGACCAAACCCTAGCCACAGCCTCTCTCTGGCCAAAGTCACAGTGTTTTTGGACAATGACAGGGTGACTGTTCTTCCATCCATATGGTGCTGGTGGCAGTGGAACCAAATAGCTTTAGGGTCCTCCCATGACTCCCTCCAGTACCTCACATGGCCAGGGGCTTTGCCAGATTGGGCAGGTCTCTCAGCCCACTCTGGGCCATTGTCAATGTCCCTTTCTCCAGTCAGTGGGGTCCCCCAGCTGCCAGCATCTAAGATAACAAAAGCACTCACTGTACAAGCACAACTTTAGGAAAAGCTCCAGATCTGACCACACTTCCTAACTGAACTGGTATCCCAGACCTGACCACACTTCCTAACTGAACTGGTATCCCAGACACCCTGTTGTGCTGACATTTTGGAGCAGCCACCGTTCCTCAGACCCAGAACAACACACTGCCCATCTGTGTTCCCCATCCCCTCTTCCAGCCCCAGAATCCTCTCCCTGTTCAGTCAAACTCCTTCTCCCTTTGAGGCAGTGGGTGTCTATGTGGATCAGGGGACTGTCTTTGGCTATATCAAAGGTTAGATTGTCACTTTCTGCACCTGTGACTCAGGAAGAGAATGCCCTGGTCACTGTGCAGTACGAGGTGTTTTTGGAGATCTCTGACCTGCAGATCCCAGTTTAAGAATTTAGCTCAAATCACATTTTTTTCACCTTAGAACATAGAGGACTGAGATACTCAGAGGCGCCCTCTTGTGGCCACTTTAGCTGTTGTCAAGGCTGGAAATGACTCCTTCAAAACTCTGGCCTTGGGCAGGGCACTGCCCAGGCAACCTGTCTGGAGAAAAGCGTTTGAGTACTTACTCAATAGAAGTCATGCCTATCCTAAAAAATGCTCCCAAGCCAGAGAGGGCAGGGCAAATCATTGGCATCTGGTTTTCCAGAAAGTCAGATTGGAGGGAAATTTATTAGGATGACACACCCAGCCACAGGTAGGACTTCTGCCCTGACTCTGGGCACGTCTGGCAATGGGATGTGGGGAAAGGCTACCATCAGCTGCTGCTGCAGCCCTGTCAGAGTGCATGCTCTGGACCCCTCCGTGGTTTTCCATCATCTGAAAGGTGACTGGCCCAGTAGGGAACCTGCCAGCCCCTTTCCCCAGTTGATGTTGAACAAGTTCTTCATCTTGGTGGCCCAAATCTGTCAGTTAAATGGGAGGGACAAGAAGACCTGGAAAGGTCCTTCCTGTGTTGACGTTCTGGCATCTACATGTGTCACGGTTCCTGTCTCTGAGTCTGTTCTCTACTTTGGGGAAGTGGCTGTGAACTCTCCAGGCAAGACCCCTGGTTCTATTGGCTTCCAGGGGGTGGAGAGAGACAAAAAACACATCAACAGATAAACCTTTCACATGAGGCCAAGTGCAGTCAGGAGATACAGCCAGGCAGGTGGTGCTGGTGTGACTGGGCAGGGGACACTAGGTGCGGCACTAGGGAGGTCTCTCTGAGGAGATGATGCTAGAGCTGAGATCTAGGTGACGAGAATGAACTGACCTTGAAACAGCATGGGGGGAAATGTTATAAAACAGGACAGGGCACATCTTCAAGAAGCAAAGGGCAGCCAGAAAAGGGCCTTAGGTCAAGAGCGATGCCATAGTCCATGCTAAGACTTTGGATTTGATCCTAGGGACAATGCCATTTTAAGCCCTAGTGAATTTTAAGCAGGGGAGTAACCTTATTTGATATTATTTCTTCTAGGGAATGGGGTCCCAGGGGTTGCTCCCTGCCTTGCAAGCCTTGGGGTGGGGCAAGGTAGGGGTTTCCCAGCAGTGAGGACTTGGCTTCCAGTGTGGGTGGGCATCGTGAGCCAGCTCTACAAGCGTGTATCAGTCCCAGGGCCTCTCAGGCTCCCTGGGTCCCACCCCTGGTCCAGGAGAACCAGTTCTTCAGTGAGCATCTACCCAGAGTTATGTGCTCATGTGGGGTCATAACTGGGGAGTGTCCACATCCATATGCCCAATCCATCCATGGCCCCAGCCCAAGTCCTGGCCTTACTCACATCAGTCCGTGGCCCACATCCGCCTCCATTTCCCTTAGGAACCTAAGTCCCACTCCATACTTGAACCTTGATCAAACCCCGAGTAGTCACTTGGCTTTTTTGGAAAAGGGATTGGCTGCTAGTGGCTCTGGGAGGCAGAGAGGATTTGGGGGAAGAAGCCATGCTCACCTTCATCCCTTTCTATACCTTGGTCCCCTTCTCCATATCCCCAAAGCCCTCTCTACCGGTCCTCCAGGCCTCCTATGTGTCCCTGCCTCCTCCTCACCCCCACACAGTGATCTTACCACTGGGTCAAAAAGGTTAATGTTGGGCCTCTTGCCCCAAATACCCTAAGACTCTATTCCCTGGGGGTCTAGCTGCACCATTTCCTAAGTCTCTGAGCCTCAATTACCTCTCCTCCACCCTGTTCCTCACCGTGCCTTAGCAACCCTCTGGGGCAGTCTTTAGGATAGGGGAGTGTCTAGAAAGCAAGAGGCTGGGAGAATTTAAGTGAAATTTGCATATTGAGATGCAGATTTGCATATCCGGGCTCTCAGCATCTCCCAGGAGTCATTAGGTGGCTAAGCCGAGCCCAGGAGGGTGGGCTTGACCAGCCTGGCAGCTCTTGTTCTCAGCTCAGGATGGCATTGCACCCAGGGAAATGAGGCAGCTGCCAGTCACCCAAAACTTGGGCCTGACCCTCATCCTCAGCATTCTCCCCTATCCCACTTCCATTTCCCTAACTCCTCTCCCAGCCTCATGTCACTCCCTGCACTGCCCCATCCTTAGCCCAATCCAGCTCCTCTGACTCTTCATCCTAATTCCAAACCCTTCTTGACTGACTCAATCACTAACCCTGGCCTTTTTCTTATTATGAACCCACTCAACCATTAAGGTTCATGTTTTGAGAGCCTTCTAGGTACCAGGTAGATGCCAGGAAATGAAGAGAAAACAAAACCAAATTGTGGACAGTCCAATTTAGCAGGGAAAGCAGACGTCAATCAAAGATGTTGGCTATAGTGCTAAGACAGCCATTTATAGTTAAATTTGGTCTTTTTTGAAAAAGCAATTAAGGTCAAAAGGAAGAGGAGACATTAATCTGGTTCAACAGGTGGCTATGTAAAAGCACATGCAAAGGTCCTGGGGTGGGAAGGAGCTGACATCACTTCCTTTAGGTCTGTACTCAGAAGTTCATTTCCCAGAGGGCTCTTCTCTGGCCACCCTATATCTAAACTTTGCTCTATTACCTTTTTCTTTTCTTTTGCTTTAAAAAATTTAACTCATTTTGTGGTACTGGGATTGAATTTAGGGCCTTCATACTGAGGTATATCCTTAGGCCTTCATTTATTTATTTTTTGAGGTAGTCTTGCTAAATTGTTAAATTGTCCAGAATGGGCTTGAACTTCTGATCCTCTTGCCTCCACCTTCCAAAGTGCTGGGATTATAGGCATGTGCCACTGTGCCCGCTCTTTCTTCTTCCTTTTTCTTTTATTTTCCTTTCTTTTCCTTTTTTTGCGGGGTGGTGGTGGGGAACAAACCCAGGGATTCATGTACACTGGGCAAGTGCACTACAACTGGGCCACACCCTCGGCCTTCCTCCATCTCTGTACTTCATATTATTTTTTCCCTGTCATATTTTTTCTCTTCAGCATTTGTCACCACTTAACATGCTATATAATTTATTTGGTTGTTAAGTAATACAGTATTTCCCTCCTAGAATATAAATTTCATGAGTACAGGGGCTTGTTTTGGTTGTACTGTATTCTCCAGGCTGGGCACAGTAGGGGCTCAGTTAGCATCTGCTGATGAGTGAATGAAAGGTACACAGTGTTATCTCAAAGCCAAGGAAGAGCCACTGCCAGGCTTGAATGAGCTGGGGTAGGGTTGAGGGTAGGTGACATCAGAAGATTTGAATCTTTTTTTTTCCTTTTCCAGTAATGAGGATTAAACCCATGGCCTTTGCATAGAGCTTCATCCTCAGGCTTGTTCTTATCTTTTATTTTGACTCTAGATCTGGCCCAGTTGCTAAATTGCCCAGGCTGGACTAAAAATTTGGGATCCTTCTGTCTCAGCCTCCCAGAGTGCTAG